TGGCATCATCTTTAAAAAAGCTTCTGCCTTTGCCAGTGAAAAATGAGGGGAAAAGCCTCCAAGATAGGTGAAGGAACTGAAAAACATTCATTTTTCTTCTCAGAGTATTGTGTTTGTGTGTGTGTGTGTGAAATGTAAAAGTAATTGCATTTTATACAACTAACTTTTCATCAGATGAACTCTGTTCTCTGGTAATAGGGGGCAAACATGTCACGTAAATTCTAGCTCAACCTCTTGTCTTTCCCTTCTCTTGCAAGGGGTCTCGCTCCTCAGAACAAACCAGAGCTCCAAAAAGTGATGGAAAGACGAAAAAGAGACCAGGTTTTCAAGCAGAAGGAAGAGGAAGCACAGAAGAAGAAATCAGACTTGGAAATAGAGCTGCTCAAGCGACAACAGAAACTAGAACAAGTAAGAGGGAGGAAAGAAGGTATTTGTCTATTGACCTTGATTCCAGAAGGAAGGTATGAATCAGGGACCACAGAATAGCTTGAAATTCTTTCAAAACCCAAAGGGAAGATGTAGTAGAGAACAGTTTTAGATAATTCTAGAAGGCTTAAGCTTTATTAGGATGAGGTCACAGAAGATAATGTTATCAGCAACTGTTCTGCAGAGGTGATTCCAGAAATAGTCTCCCTCCTCAGATGACCATGATAAATTGGGTAGATTGGAGAAGAATTGAATAACTCCTGCATTTTGTACGCTGCTATCAAAGCAGTGCTTTTATTTAACTTCTGAGAAACACAGTGATGTTCCTTGAATATATTTCCTTGATCCCTTCCTTTCCTTAAAAAAATCTGTTTTGTTTCTAGCTTGAACTTGAGAAGCAGAAAATCCAGGAGGAGCAAGAAAACGCACCTGAATTTGTCAAAGTGAAAGGCAATTTGAGAAGAACAACCCAAGAAACATCAGAAGCTCCAAACTCCTAGAAGAGGAACTTCTTTAAGACTTGAAGCTGCAGCCCCAGTGGCAGTGGGGGAGTGACTTCTCCAAGATGTCTGACCCATTTGCCCTGGATCTGGTGAAAAACATGGTCAATACAAGGTCAATTCCTGGAACCTGTGTGAATTGATGACTGCTTAAAAGTCAAAACTTGCCAGTAATAATATGGAGATCAGAGGATAAACAAGCAACCAGCTTTCCTATCCAAAATAAGATAGGGAATCCATTTGGGTTGTTGGATTGCTTATTTACTCCTGATCATGCTTAATGAGCATCTCAGGCTAGCATGTCTGCATCTTTCCTCCTTGTTCCTACTTTGTGGAGTTCTGCTATGCAGGAAAACAAAGTGCTTTGAAACCACTTTTTAGTTACATTCAGTGTGGAAACTTGGCTTCAGAAATGGAGCTGCCCTTTTCCATCTTTTGTGTAAATAGAAATTCCTTTAGACTTGAAGCTGGATTTATCACATCTATGACTAGCGTGTAGGGTGTACCACCATGGCTATGAGGGAAACTGAAAAAGAAAGTGGGAAATGCAATGGCCTCAGTCAGTAGGTTGCTAACATGTATTCTTTGTCACTTCTGCAGTTGTAGGGAAACGGACGTTTTGCCCAGCAACATTCACAGGGTGACTAAACTCTTTCCTCCCCTCTATCCACCCAACCTTGCTATGCAGAATTCTGCTTTATCGTTGATTCTTCTGACAAACGCTTTTGTCGCTATGTCTGCATTGCAGTTGACATTTACTTTTATGAGGGTTTCAAAAACTGCATAGCTGGGTTTCTGATTCTCAGCTGTATTGCAGTTTGTGGGACAGCCTGAGAACCTCCTGGTCAAAGAAGTAGCAACCACTAAGAATAGTTCTGCGCACCATTTTTCATGTCCTGTGCAGCTTTGTTATTTTCTTTTAAAGTTAACAAACCAAGCAAGTTTGGAATAATGTTGTCAGACCTTTGACTGTGGAGTGGAATACTTAAAAACTTGAGATCCTCTTTATTTTCATTCTTCTCCATGAAATCTGGTTACATTTCCACCTGGAGGTAAGCCCCATTAACGTTAGAGGAACTTACTTCTGGACAGATGGATATAAGATTGCAGACTAGCTTAACTTGATATTTCTTTGAATGTTCCACTATCCAATTCTTTGTCTGGTTTCCCTTTTCAACTAGTGAGAATTCCAGTGAGAGACAAGGACAAAAACAATGTATTTCCAAGAAAAATCTCAGGGTGGGACTTTCTTCCAACAGTCCGAAGCTGTAGTTTGCCCAGTGGCATCTACAATGGGGGAGTCAAAAAAGTCAAGATGGCAGCTGTGACCATTTGACCAAAGCCCCTCCCCTTTTTTACATGTGACAAAAGGAGCAGAGCTTTGATCATGCAGTTGCAGCTGCCATCTTGACTTTTTAAGTCAAGACTTAAAGACTTTTCACCCCCACCCATGGACAACCCTGAATTGGCTCCAATGTTTTGTCCAGCGTTTCTGGCTAGATTTGGCCATCTTGTAAAATTACCTCTTGATAGTTGATCCTTTATAGGAGTTCAAAGAGCAAGCCATAGTTTTCTATAGATGGACCACACTATGATTTTTTGTCACTTCAGGAATTCCAGCTGTTTACTCTGCTGGCTAGGGTTGGTGGGAAGTTGATGGGATTTTAGTACAGTCCATCTGGAGAACACAATTGGGGAATGGTTAGCCTGTATGTCATCAGTGGGACATGATACATAGATGGCATTTTATTTTATTTTATTTTATTTTATTTTTTTAACCTAGTGTCAGAAAACTACTGAAGTCTGGACACATGTATTCTGGGAACAAAGCTAACCAAACATGGATAGGGAGAACTTCTAGCAAGTGTGATCAGTGTAGCCTAACCTTGATTTTAGTTCATTTATGTGAGTGCTTGTCACATGTGTGTAATGTTTCTTGCACTTGTGCATTTGGGTATGCAGATTGCTGTAAACCCTCAGAGCTAGTCTTCAGTAGGGATCAGAATATGTATATAGAAAGTTAGCAATACACAATCCCATTCAATAGCTACTTAAATTGGATCAGATCCACAGTCTCCATTTCATCTTCCTCTTGCAATTACATCCAAGCAAAATCCTGACAGTGTTTATACCGATATCAGTTGATATGAGTAAGTGATGTATTTAGTCATTGCTGAAGGCAGTGGAAATTAGAAAAACCACTTCAGCCCCGGTCTTGGGTCTGACAACAAGCAATCTTTCCCTTGGTGTGAAGCTTCTCAAGGTGTCAGGATCCAGGCACTGGATTTTGAGAATAAAATCACATTATCAGTCCAAGCCAATGAGAAATAGGTTTCTCTGAGATTTAATTTACTTCTAATTTAAATCCTGACACAAGTTATTTTATCGCTGACTTGGATTTATAGGGCCATGTCTTTTTAGAATTGTGCATACAAAGGCATTGATAGAAAATATGCTTCTGGATTGCACTGCCACTTAAAGGTGAAACCGGAGAGCTTGCTTTTTGAGAAAGTGGGCCTCTTTTGCGACACAGGTATGTGACAATTCCACTTTTCATTTCTTCTTCTTGGACTGGAGGCAAATAGATCGTACACCCGCACTGCCATTGGATTTGCCACTAACCTTTCCCCTTCTCTAACTAGCCCACTGCACCAAGAATTTTGAGGTGGTGGGAACACTCAGAACACTTTGGGTTTTCCTTTTGGGAAAAGATTTGCCTTCAAGGATCCACTAGCTCCTGTGTGTTTCTCAAGCTGTGCCATTTAATTCATCCCTTAGTCTTCTAGAGAGTTAGATTCGCTTCTGGATTCCAATTCCATAGCCAACTTCCAGCTCAGTGGGTATCAACAAGTTCACAACACTTGGTATCATCATTTCAAATGAATTTTGACCCCTAAGCCTTTGAATGTAGGGAAGAACTCTTCCACCGCACTAAAACCAGATCTGCTGAATGCATTAAAGGACTTAAATCTGCTCCTGATGTAGCTATGAATGAGGTCAACCAGATTTGTGAGGTGAGGATAGATGTTTCCGAAAACAACTGAAAAACTTATTTTGTAGATACCGTACACAGTAGTCATAGGGTTAGGGTGGGAAATACTAAGACTATTATCTAGCAGAATGTAAATAATACCTTTAGCCCAGTGTTACTCAACCCTGGGAACTTTAAAATGTGTGGGACTTCAACTCCCCGAATTCTCCAGCCAGCCATGCTGACTGGGGAATTCTAGGAGTTGAAGTCCACACATCTTAAAGTTCCCAAGATTGAGAAACACTGCTTTGGCCCATCTAAGAACTCTGCAAGATTTTTTTGCATAGGAATCCAGAATTTTGTTTTGGGTCAGTATAACAACAACAATACCAGCAGTATAACATTAAATCAGGTTTTGACAAATATTCTAACATTGTTCAGCTCTTTTTATTAGCCGAAAGCAGTCAAGATTGTGATTATAACTTTACCATTTTTCAGAAGTGTCAATCTGAATATCTTCAGCTGAGCTATTTTATTTTAAAAGTGATTGTCTCCTTTTAGAAATGTTGTCTTTTTAAATGATCAATGCTTTTAAAAGAGTTTTTAGCTGGTTAAGGTGGCAAATTAGCATTGCCTTCCAGTTCTTTAGGTTAGGCTATTCTTTTATGTCTTCACTTGTTTCTCAGTGTACATATATAAATATTAAAAAGGGAGCCTTAATGGGATTTGTTTTCATAATTTAATATTTTTTGTATTTGCTCTTGCCTACTTGTTTTTAACAAAGTGTTACAAAAATGAGGGTGGAATTCTTAGAACCAAAGTTACTACTTAATAAAAATGTATTACATGCTTGGAATATGCAATGGTGTGAACATGTGGCCTCAGTCTCCGTTGTGTTTAATGTTCAGTTTCATCACTTTAGAATTATATTCTTTTGCTCTTCTAACAACAAACGATTCCAAAGTCTTATGCATAAGCAAGGTGTCACTGTTAGGCAGAACATTTTTAGCAAAAGTAGTTTAATTGCTCTACTTCCCTCAATAGATGCCTGATTTAAACAAAGCATTTATTTTATCTGTGCCCTAGTCTTAAATGAAAAGATAAGAATTCCCACCTAATTTAGGCCTCCAAAAATCTTAGATTCAACCTAAATCTTTATGGGCAATGAGCACTTCAGTATTTAATTAATCCAATCTGCACCCCGGTTTTCAGTATAGCTTTTACTTCTGCTTTTAGGCAGAACTTACGGGGCCACCTTGCAAGTGTTAAAACTGATATGTTGAGCATACTTGAATGTCAGTCAACAGTCTGGCTCTTTAAAAAGGAGAAGTTGGGCACAATCCAGCAAAGTTAACAATGCTGTTGGGCTTTAGTTGGGCAAATAAAAACACGTTGAACTTCAGATGGATTGCATTTGTTTTCGTAAACCTGTTAAATTCTAAACAAGTTACTCAGATTGAGGCACATTGAATTGCTAAGCTACTGTTGCCTGGGTTCACTCACCACAAGAAACAATTAACCATCCTCTCTCTGAGCTACAAGGGCTGGATTCATGTATTGTGCTAAGCCAGTGCTAGGTCAGCCACATTGTGGCTTAGGGCAGCAGGTTCACTTAATTGGTTTTGCAACTGTTTGCCATGTCCAACCCATGAATGTCCTACATTTCAAAGGTTTGCTGTTGTTGGGAAACATGGCAAATGCTGCTGCTATATTCACTTTTGATTTAAGGCTTCCTTCTCCCAATGTAGCACCCATCATCATCTTGGTGTTTGCAAAATCCCCGTTCCAAGTAACTGACCTGAGAGAAGACACATTTTTAGCAAATCAAGATAGAAGAGGACTAGAAACCAGCTCTGAATTTTTCACCTAATGTAGCTATCCTATTGTCAACTCCAAGAGTCAACATCCCCCAAAGGGCCCATTTTGTAGTGTTCCCTTAGGACACAGCATGTTCTGTGAATTAGCCTTACAGCAGGACAACTGACTAGGAGTTGCTGCTGGTTTCACTATTCACTATCCCTACAGAATAACGTTCAGGAGACAATCTTCATTTGAAAGCAGAGAGGAACACTGGCTTGCTCTGCAGAGAGAATTTTAACAAAACGTGGAAAACTCTCCAAAAAAAATTCCAGAATTGAGGTAACACAAATAATGGCTATAAGAAGGCTTTGGTACTACATCACCAACATGTATGTCTTAAGCCTTTAGTTTTCAGTCTGATCCCATAGTAATATGTGTATAGCTCTTCCTCCAAATGAGACAGCCATGGAGCCTGGGGGGTGGGAAGAGAAACTGTCTATACTTCTCACTTGGATCCTCCTAGAGTGGGCTACATGAGTGGGTGCTGTTTTTTGTTTTACTGCTTGGCAGTTGGGTGCCTTTTTCGTGCTTTGCAAAGCCCTATTTTCCTCTGTCTATAATCTTTTAATGTGATTTAAAGTAGGGGGACTTGGCACAGCATGTGGCAGTAAGTGTTAAGCTTCTGAAGAGTGCCACAAGGGTGTCTCTACTCAAAAGGAGCAAAAGAATGGATATTCCGGCAGTTGATTGAAAAATGGCTTGTCTCACCTTATCTCAAAGTAATTGTCCAGCAAAACCAGTTGTTGACCAGAACTTTCCTGTAGAGTGAATGCATCTTACTCCATAACTTCATTGGTTACTTATCACTGAATCCCTGGGGAAGGACGGAATAAATTTCACCACTGCCAATCTATGTCTGCTCAAGTTTGCCAAGCTTGGCTAGAAGAATCAACATGCCATTTTGTTATCCTAATTCTGGAAGAGGCTGCTGAGGCCACAAGGGACCAAGATTTTGCTCAGGGCAGGAATCCACAGCATCAGAGGGAGTGGGCTGACAAGGATGTGACCTACCTCCCCCGTTCACTGAAGATCTGAAAGGGGATAAACAAAAAAGTCCCTGCATTCCAAAATGCAACTCTCTTCAGAAACGTCTGGCAATCCACAGTCATCTGCTCCTGACACCCAATTCAGATTTTCTTCGGACTCCTTCACTCAACATGATTAAGTATTGGAACAGTTTAAATCTATTTGAGATAAAATTTAGGTGTACTGGCGAGAGGTCTTGGGGAGCAATACTGAACAAGACTGCAAATCCGTGTGAATATACCATTTAAGGCTCCGGTGTAAAAACATCAAAGCCCCATTTAAATATGGTTTAAAATAGGGATAGCTAATCTAAAGTATCAGCAAAAATTGCTGCTGTGTTCAAATGTGTCATATCTGCAACCATCAGGACTAGGAGCATGCATATCTGTTAAAAATAATTATCCCCTCCAAGTGTATCTCATCTGCAGCCACAAAGACTCAAAGCATGATTATTTTTTTGTGAATAAAATTCACAGCAACTGAATATTAGGATTTTAAAGGGCTTCATGCAAGAGGTCTGAGGCTAGTTACACTATGATGATGATTAGGACTTCAAGAAGCCAGTTTTGCTTGCCAATCTTGTAAAAACATGATGCATGTCTAGAAAGCTATGCTTCCAAGCTGAATGGTTTTTCTCATACAGGATGTTGCATTTAACGGTGACCTGAACATTCAGATGCTGATTTAAAATTGGGCACAAGGTTTTTGGATGGAGAGGCCAAGTTATTATCTCAGGTAGTTGCATCAAGCCTTCTTTAAGTCTCTGTGTGTGTGCGCGCGCACGTGTGTGTGTGTAAGTAAAATGTGCAAGACAATCAGAAACTGAAATGGCTTGTGTTCTCAAAGTGTCGTCTTAACACTCCAGGGCTATTTTCTGTTTCTGTTTTCAAATGACAAGACAAAATGGTATTTTCAAAGGGGACAATATTTGCTTCTGGCAATACTTTGTTTTCTTTTAATACTGACAAGTTTTTGACCATTTTTTAAAAAAATTAGAACAGTTAAGTTCAATGCTCCTCAAATGTAGGTCAATTTATGTTGGTATGTTACCTTGTTTTACAGATACAAAATAAAATAATTTCTTCTTCCCAATAGCTGGTTGCTTCTCTGTTTTTGTTCTTTTTCAGAAAAACAAGTCTTGTCTTATATAGTTTTGCTTGTGATGTACTTGCCCAAAGTCCCCAGATGGCACCTACTGATCTCTATTTTTTTTAGTATTAACAATTAAAAACAAAATCTAAGAGAGTCAGAATCTTATGAAATGGTCCAAACTCTCAAGATCTCTCCATTCTTGGATGAGATCTTATGAACTCTGGCAAATTGTAAAAATTTTTTCATGTGCACCAGTGATATTGGGATATTTTGAGATGGTGCCTGATCCTAAAGGAGGTCTCTGCCAACTGTTTTAGAAGTAGCTGCATGATGGCTTTTTCTTAGCCATAGCTGCAAGATGGGAACTGGCTAGAAAATGCTTTTTGTCTGAAGACAGATTGCTTATGGTAACTTCATGAGTAAAAAAGGACTTTCTCTGATCTGTTCTGTTTAAACCTTTTGCTCTCAGATTCAAATGCCTC